TTTATATGAATCTATTAAAAACTCATTTTTCAAAAAATTGTAAAAATGGGCTGTTTCTATTGACAACACCCCATATATGACTATACATATATTTGATTTACATAGTGCATTTAACACCCCAATGTTACGGTGTGCCTCCCTAATGCACGTCGTCGGGGCCACCTCTAGAGCGTGCATATAGGGAGGGCTGCAATTAGAGAACACTAACGCTAACAGCTAATAAAAATCGCAATGTTACTATTAGCACGTGATAATGTGGCTTTAGTACCTTGAAATAATGAATTTGATTGGCTAGTAATGCATTTATGGAGAGTTTTTATAAGTGGGGCCAGACAATTAGCGTGCACTCACAGAATAAAGAACGTGCATTTATCTATAAGTCCCACCATGTGCCCGGGCTTATATCATGCATTTAGAGGGGTGCTGCATTTAGGGAGGGTGCGTTTAGGGGGTCTGACTGTACTTCACTATATCGAGTTGAAGGTTAATAATTCCCAGAATTCAAATACTTCTTTATAAGCACATTTTACTATGTCCCAAAACTGCGTAATTATATGGGGAGATGACTGTACAACTTTCATTATATTGAACTCTTGTTATAGTGAAGTTGTGTTTATATGAGGTTTTTTCTTATAAATTAAATCATAGTTTGTCTAAACGTATCGATATTTCGAATTTCGATATAACTAGAGTGACGAGAAAACGTGGCCTTTTCTAGGTCTATGTTAACGTTAACAAACGCAATAATTATAAAAAATGACTATAGTACAAACTAATCATACAGACGTATCATCTCTATACTGTACTCGCTGGCAAAACCCGGACAAATCCCAAATCCCAACAAAACAAATTCCATTTATAAAACATTAATTCAAAAAAAAAAAAAAAAAATTATAATCTTGATATTTTGTAAATATTTTATATATAATAAAAATACATATATGCTATATCTGTTTATTGTTAATAAAGATTTTGAGATATTAAATTGGCCAGAGTTTTGCGGACAAAGCCAATTATAATTGTTTGGGATCTGGACGGCAAGCATAATCATCTATAATCATCTCTATACATCTTTGATTAAAATAAATTCAAAATGCCCACGTTTTAATTTTCTTTTGGTGCCATTCGTACGTATACTGTAATTATAAATAAAGCGATTATCATGTTGATCATATATAAATAACGACAATAAAAAAAAACACACATGATTGTTGATGTTGATCATTCATTAAAGCCTTAGTTTTCTAAAATGTCTATTAGTTCTGTGATTAAGGATATTAAGGGTCGTCTCGACGGAAAAGTTGCTATTATTACTGGAGCAGGAAGGTTAGATTTCATAACATTATTTTAATTATGTAATATCATTGTTTGACGAAAGAATTTTTTGAAAATTTCATATTTTTTTCATGATTATTAAGTGGTATTGGTTTTGAGTCAGCCATTTTATTTGCGAGAGAAGGAGCTTATGTAGTTGCTGCTGATATTAATCTTAAATCAGCTGAAGCTGTAATTGAAAGAATAAAAGAGAAGTTTCCATTAAATGTTCTTAGACGTTCCGTTGCTTATAAGGTGGATGTTTCCAAGGAAGAAGAAGTAAAAAAATTGGTCGAATTCACTTTGAAAGAATTTGGTATGTTGTTATATTGATTTTATTAGAAAATAAACTGTTTATTTAAATAATTGTTATATGATTTATTGTAGGTAAACTTAATATCATGTTTAATAACGCTGGAATAATGCACCCTCATGATGATAATTGTCTTAATACTGATGAAAAAGTCTGGTAACCGTAATTTCCTTTTTCTTTTTTTCCTTAAATTAAACTAATAATTTCTTTATTTTAAAAGGGATCTTACTATGAATATCAATCTCAAGGGTGTTTGGTATGGCTGCAAATATGCTATCGAAGCAATGCGAAAGAACACTGATCCTAAAGGTGGAAGCATTATTAATACAGCTAGTTTTGTTGGATTAATGGGCGCCGCAACTCCTCAGTTAGCTTGTAAGCATAATTTCGTTAATCAATTACATCCTTTAATAAAGCTTAAAAACTTATATAAATCTTAGACACTGCTTCCAAGGGTGCTGTTATTGCATTGAGGTACGATTGTATTATGATTTCATACTTTATGATGATATAGATTAATTTTTTTTTTTTTTTTTTATTATATAAAAAGTCGCGAATTGGCCGTTACTCATGCTCGAGAAAACATCCGTGTTAATTCACTATGTCCTGGACCTTTACGTACTCCATTACTCATGGACTTTCTTAATACTGACGAAAAAAAAAACAGAAGACTTGTTCATTTACCGATTGGAAGATTTGGTAATCTTTTTTTTTTAACTTCTTTTATGGACATCGAGATATAACATTTTTTTGAAATAGGTGAACCAGTTGAACAAGCTCAAGCTGCCTTATTTTTGGCATCCGATGAATCATCTTATGTCACAGGAACTGAATTTAAAGTTGATGGAGGTCTTACTGCCGCATATGTGGTTAGTATACATGCATAATAATTTATATTTGTGAAATTAAAATATATAAGATGCTATATTAACCCATCTGATATATTTTTCTTAAGACCCCTGAGGGACCTTGCACAAGCGTGCCACCAAAAAATTATTTCAAACCTGCATCAGAAAAGAAATAAGATTTTTGAGCAAATTTTTTTGCAGATTCAATTGTTTGGTTTATGTAATTTTAACCTGAGCAAATGTCTGGTATATTTATTTATCTAAAGAAAAAAAAACATTCAACATCTAAAAATGTTAATTTTGAAAATGTTTGTGATTTTCTTTGACTATCATCTGAACTATAATTATTCTTATTGTTCTGGTGTCTTTTCAATGATATATACAGTTAGAATTTGAAACCGTGTCATTTTTCTAGCCATTCTAGTTGTACAATGGCATCTATCTATACATGCATTTATACCAACCGTTGAATTATTGTTGAATAGAAGTGCAATAAGCTTTTATTATAATTTACAGGCCATGTGACATATGTCATTTAAGGAATAAATGCGTGTAATCAGTATTAATAACTTAAACTAAACTGTAAATCTATTAAATTTTAATTGGCAAAGTGAAGAATCAATTTCTATGCACTTGAAGAGCAAAATTAAGTTCCTGATGTATTGGTTTTAAAAAAAAAAAATGCTGCTTAACTATTTAACGGGAGGTTATTATGCATGCTCCATATTGAAATAAACCTACCACATGATTGATTAAATTTAATAGATTTTATAAATCGAACTAAATTAATATAAAATGATATAATTGTAAAATAGTAAACGGCGTTGTTTGTAGCAAGTCTCTAATTTAATGTTTTATTGCGCGTAATAACGTACATCTGCACATTATTTCGAAACTCACATGTGCGGCAATTCGGATTATTATAATAACTTTAGGGAAAAGAATTATAACAACTAAAAACTTCCTTGCGATTTCACTCTGGTACGCGTTATTTTAAGATGCATATGTGCGTTACTTTGAGTTCAAAATGCTTTTTTTTAAAAAAAGCGAAAATTCAAGATAACGTTCATGCGCGTTATCACGCGACTATACGGTATAACTTTGTAATTTATGAACTGTAACTGTCCGAGTATAACACAATTTTGATTTCTCTTCAAATTTATTTAATAAACTAAGGTGTTTCAAGCGGATCCCTCAATGTAATTTGCTAGTTATCGAGATTGATACGATTGTGAACACTGATTTTAAATTTTAGCTAATTAGAGCAACTCTATGAAAAAAATAGGTGGTCATAGCTCCAGGTTCGAAAAACATCTGTGTTACACTAGTTATTTTTGCTTATGCCAAGTAAGTTTTTTTAGGTGGAGATAGTTTATTAAATTATCAAAGTAATATCGGCTAGGTAGTATGTTAATCGAAAAAAGATTGCTGGATGTTGCCTTAGGATATTTTAACTGATATCATCTCGCTCACTGAGGCAGGCTCTGATATGTAGAGAAAATGATAGAATACGTGATAATGGTCATCCTAGCCATCTTCTTGAAACGGATTTGGTGTGTCGAATAAAGGATTAAAGAAATCTCCGTTTTGGTTTAAATATGCTCACCATTCATTCTTATGGCTTTGATATTTGTATTTTCATCGTAATGATTGCAGTATACCTAATTTACAACTCTCAATTAATTAAACTATCATTTCAATATTAAAGATAATTTCTCTTTCACTAATGATAAACTATAAATTCAATAAAACACATCAGTGATATTTAACACTATTACATAAAGAAATGAAAATACATAAAAATTTTTAATTATATTAACATCTAATATCTAATAAAAGTGTTTAACACCACTCAAAATTTTTTTATAACTCTAACTAGGGATGCTAACGGTCATGACCAGTACCAGTTCAGTCAGGGCCTCTGACCGACCGACTGACCCACATAGCATTTTTAGATATTCGCTTCATAGAAATAAGCCTGATTAACTTGTTCTTTTCTCTGTTGCTTTTGTCTTTTAATGCACCCTTTTTTTACTTCGAATCACTTATATTTAAGAATTTTGTTAAGATAGAAATTGATTGCATGTCCATTGACAAAAGATTTGTATCTTCATAAACTGATTCTGCATCAATTTCAATTTGCGTTGTTTATTAATTGACTTACAGTACTTATTTGTAAATTTGAAAATATAATTAGGTTATGAAAATTAGGGTATTTTACGATTTTTCATATGGGTGAAATTTTTTGATTTGGTAATTATTAAATAATTATATGACTATTTCATAGCTGAAATTTCAGCTTTAGTCATAACATTATTTTTAGGTACGATAACTCTTATTCTCGCAAAGTTACGCAATCATTTTGTACATATGAGTGCAGTCAAAACATCGGGCTTTCAATGTTCAGTTGGCTTTCTGCATGCTATCTATGGGCAATCTATTCCGATGATAGATTGTCCATAGACGGTATACAGAAAGCCAACTGAACATTGAAAGCCCGAAGTCAGGTTTTCTATTGACAGACTCATATGATAATCAAGTTATTTAATATTTGTTTAAAATAAAAAAAAAAAAAAAACATTTTAAAGCAATATAAAACTGATTTAAAAAGTTTCATTTGTTAAAAGCAATTGTCATCCCTACACTTACCGTAATGATAATGATATTTTTTGGTTAACCAATAGTGTGCTTTAATAATTATTTAAGACTTAACCAAAATTTTAAGACAGATTAGAAGCATAATTTAAATCAAAATATTGCCATGTATTATTACAATTTTCAAGATCTTTATATACAAGATAAAGCAGTTTATTATCAAGACAACTAAGTTTTATTTGGCTTTCAAATGAATCTAAATATATAGATATGCTTTTGAATAGCGATAGTGATCCAAGCCGATTAAATTTTTTACGGCTAGGCTAAGCCATTATATTTTTAATGGCTTAGCGGCTTAGTCAATAATTTATGTTATACTGAATCATCAAATTAAAAATAAGTATATATATAGCTTTTTAGATCCGGGTTTACTTTAATTATTCCGACTGTTTTTATATTATAAATTTTAAATTGCAAATTAAATTCTTGGAAACAAATAAGTATTCAATCGAATAGAGATTTGTTACCAAAGCTTATATATGTTATACGTTAAATTGAAATTTGTGTCAGATCAAAATTTCAAAACTGAGTTTAATTAGGGTTAGGGTAAACACTATGTTAGGCATATAGTTTATTAGTGGCATTATAATCATTTTGATCTAATGCAAAATTTTTAATTCGACGTATAATGATAACAGAGGTTAAGTTCGGTAATAGGTTTTTTTTTTTTTTTTATATGACACATATGAATTTTAGTTATATATACAACTTTGAATTTTGTAATTAATATCATTAGCCGTTATTAGCCGGCTGATTAGACTATCAGCTAACTAAGCGGCTAACCCAATCGGCTTGGAACACTACTTTTGAAGATTTTTGAAAACAAATAATATTAGATAACAAAAATTGTAAGACTTATATAACTTTGCTGGTTAAAATTTGTATAAAAGAAAAGTAGATTACTTAAATTTTATACTATACATGCTATTTACCGTAAAATATGAAAAATAAGCACAGCACCCTCTACCCTGCTTTTTTCAATTTCAGATTAACGGGAATAATGATTAAAGATTTTATTGCTATTTCCGCTAATCTGAAATTAAAAAAAAGTAGGGTAGAGGGTGCTGTGCTTATTTTCCATATTTGTAATAATAATATCCTGATCCGTTGGGTATTAGCGGGGCTGAAAGTCCCGCTAATTCACATACGGTCAGGGTATTATTAATTAATACTCCCGTGATCTTGAATAGTGATCGGGGTATTATACGGTAAATGTTGCTAGTATAGAAATAAAATAAAATAGGGTAAAATAAATTTTAACACAAACAAGAATTTATAAGTAAATTAGGAAGTGCAAATAATGAGTTATAAGATGTTTTCTTAAGAGATTTTTCAAAACTTTTACTAATTCTACAGTATAACTAATTCAATTAACCAACTTTGTAAACTATCAATCCTTTTGTATATACCGTATTCTTTTTTAAATTCAAAGCTTTATTTAATTTAATTATGCAAGATTTCGCAAAGAATTTTTTTTTTTATTCCATTAAGCATTTAGTTATTCCACGTTGTTCTAATGCAAAATCATTATTTTGATCAATTTCTAAACATTTATTAAATCTGCAAGCGATTCTTTATACTTTTCTATCATCCGATATGTTATTTAGATTAATTTCAACTCTTCATTTAAATCTACAAGAGTTCTTTATATTTCGCCATCATATGGTAAGTTACGCCATGAATTTTTAATGTCGAATTTCTAATGACTTATTTTAAGTTTGAAAGGCGATTCTTCATATCTATCCATCATAAGGTAAATAGCATCACATTGTCTTAATGCAAAGTATCATTCGATTCAATTTCTAATGATTTGGATAAATCCGCAAGAAATTCCTCGTATTTATCCATAAAATAATGAATCATTCCACGATACCTTAATGTAAATGCATCTTTTTTTTTAATTTCTAATGATTTAGTTAAGTCCGCAAGAAACTCTTCGCATCTATTGTAACGATTGAGAATTGATTGACGATGCAGTAGGCTCAAATTAGCGGATCAATTGCATAAATATTTAGATTACCATCAGGAAGTTTCAAAATCAATAATAAAGTCATTTAATTTAAAAGAATAAACATCGCACCTTTAAAAATAATCATTATATACAATGTATAACTAGATATTTAACTACTTAGTTAAATAACATGTCGTACATATATTTTGTACATTGCAATGTTTAATGAAGCCCCCGTTTTTCATTGCTTTTTTAGATTGAGTTAATCATCTAGATTTATTATTTTTTTGTAACTTCGTGATGACATAACTAGGATGTAAATACCTTGAGCTTAATACAATTTCATTGAGCAAAATATCCGCCCAAGAGGCGTCAAGACTCCAAAGTGTTGGAATGGCATTAAGTTCTTTTGTAGTTGTAAGAATTCATATAATACTAATGGGTGTAGATGTAGAAAGGTTAAAAAAAATGCACAAGCCAATATTATGATAGGTGGTTCTGTTTGAATAAAAATTAGTATTTAATTTTTAATTTAATATATAAAGCTATATATAATAAATAAATAAATTA